AAAATTTGTTTATTTATTTATTTAGTTAGTTAGTTTTCAGCGGACATAACATCTTTGTTTGCATATGGTGCTGAGAATCGAACCCGGGCCGCATGCATGCCAGGCGAGCGCGCTAACGTTTGAGCCACATCCCCAGCCCAAGAATTCAGACAACAACAACAAAAAAAACAAAACAAATAACCCAATTAAATAAATACAGACACTTCTCAATAACTAACAAAATACACGAAAAAAATGTTCAACATCATTAACAATTAGAGAAATGCAAAACAAAACTACATAGAGATTTCATCTCATGGCAGTCACAGCCAGGTGCAGTAGTGCACACCTGTAATCCCAGCAACTCTGAAGGCTGAGATGAGAGATTCACAAGTTCCAGGTGAGCCTCATTAACTTGAGACCCATCTCAAAATAAAAAATGGAAGGAGATGTAGCTGAGTGGTAAAAGTACCCTTGGATTCGATTTCTAAAACAACAATAAAACCCCAAAAAAGTGGTCATCAAGAATACAAACAATGAGGGGCTGGGATTGTGGCTCAGCGGTAGAGCACTCGCCTAGCACGAGCGGGACCCGGGTTCGATTCTCAGCACCACGTAAAATAAAGGCATTGTGTTGTGTCCATCTTCAAAAAAGATTCTCTCTCTCAAAAAAAAAAAAAAAATACAAACAATGATAAATGCTAGAGAAGATGTGGAGAAAAAGAAACACTTTTACACTGTTGGGACTGTAGATTAGTACAACCACTATGGAAATCAATATATAGGTTCCTCAAAAAACTAGGCATTAAGATACCATATGACCCAGGTATACAATACTCCTCAGTATTTTTCCAAAAGAAATTCATCATACTTTAATATATGATCCAGGCATAACCATATTTATAGTCAGCACAATTCATAGCCAAACTGTGGAACCAGTCTAGGTGTTCATCAACAGATGAATGGATAAAGGAAATGTGGTACATATTCACAATGGAGTTTTATTCATTCATAAAGAAGAATAAGATATATCAATTGCAAGAAATGGATGAAACTTGAGACCACTATGTTAAGCGAAATAAGCCAAATCCAAAAGGTCCAAGGTTGTATATTTTCTTTCATCTGTGGGAGCTGAAAGAGAAAAGAAAAGGAGGTGGGGGAAAGAGGATCTAATGAAAATCAATGGGAGATCAATAGAAGAGAGGGATCAGGGTGTGGCAGACTAGAAGTGTTGGGTAGCAATAACTGGAATATGTAACAACAAATGCCATCATTATGTACAACTAAAATACACTAATAAAAAATGTGGAAAGAGGAATAGAAATACACAGTGACTAAGCACCAATGAGAAGAACCTAACTTAAACTTGAGTATCTTAAATTTTGTTTCTCCTTTCTGATCTGCAAAAGTAGTAAAGCAACATTTTGCTTTTCTTTCGGAAACAAAGCAAGATTTTTGGATTTTATTTTTAAAAAAGTTATTTTCTGAAAATGACATTTGATGGAAGTTATCATGCTAAGATTAAATATTTTTTCCTTTACTGTCTTATTTAGCTGGTTTTCAAAATAAAGACATTTTCAACATAAAAACAAATTAAATATATCACTATATATTCAAAAGCTATACTGAAATAAAAATTACACATATATGTTGAGTTGGTCCAGAGCATACTAGGGAACTGTAACCTTGGATCCACAACACTGAGAAATAAAATCTAGTTTTTTAATTTCAGAAATAAAGAACAACACTTTGAGTGGCCAGGCAAAAAGATTAAGTCATTTATAATGAGAAAAAAATGGACTGACTTCATAGTTTTGATCATTCAATTCCAAAAGACAATAAAACTACCTCTTAGTTCTACTAACATCCTCAAGAAAAGGAAGTCAAATCCAGTGATTTTATACCCATTCAATCTGTTCAAGTAAAAAGGCTACAAACACAACAGGGACACTACTGTTCCCATTTAGTATGTTTGAAGAAACTAGAAGATTAACTTAAACCATATAAATATTGACTACAGCAACTATGGCAACAATACTGCTGATGAACATTAAGACTAAAATAAAAATGAAGATTAGGAATTAGCACAACAGTGTATGTTACTTGTCCAGACACTATCAAAAAAAATTAGAAGGAAAATAGACCCCCAAAACGCAGGAAGTAGAATAAATTCACTGGTTGCCTCATCTGCACAATGGTACATGACTGACATTTTTACAAAACACCACATTCATTAAAAGTAGAATATACATTCAGTTGCACACAGAATATTTAACAAGACAGACCACATACTGCATCATAAAGTTTCAATACATTAAAAAGGATTCGAGACACAAGGTTGTGTTCTTCCCCACACGGAATAAAATTAGGAATTAGTAACAGAAAGAAGGAACACACTGCATATCAGAATTTGTGAGATGCTAACTTAAAGAGAAAGTTATAGCACCAAATATCTTTATGAAAAGAGAAGGAAGACTCAATGACCTCAAGCTCCTTCCATGAAAAATTAGAAAAAACAGCAAATAAAATTCAGAGTGAGCAAATGAAAGAAAATAATAAAGTTCAAAATGGAAATCAATGAACAAAAATAGGAAAAAAAATCAAAACCTTGAGAGGAGCAATAAAACTGACAGACCTTTAATCAGAATACTGGGAGGGGGAGAAAATACAATTTACTAATATCAAGAATGGGAGAGGTAGCATAAGTACAGATTCTGTAGATATTAAATATAAGAAAATGTTATAAACTTTATGCCTTTAATAACAACTCAAATGAAATTAACATATCCTTTTACTTACACACACACACACACACACACACACGACCAAGTTTACTCAAGAAGAAAGTGATAACCTGAATAGCCCAAAACCTTTAAAGAAATTTGAATTGCTTTAAAAAGCATTCAAAAAAAAAAAGAAAAAATTCACCATTGAGGATGTCTGGGTGAGGAGTTATCAATAGTAAAGGATGTAAATTTTGTTTCAATTTCATATAAACTGTTCCAAAAACAGAAGAGAAGGAGCATTCCCAACTTACTGTATGTTGAACAGCATTACCCTGAAACCAAAACTAAACAAAGACAGGTTCTATAATATTATTATGGCAAACAAGTCAATGAATCTGATTTTTAAAACTTTTACTAAAAGTACTTTTCTTCATGGAAAGCAATTTTGGTCTTATTATCTTTATTATCTGGGTTTTAATCAAGTTTAGGAAATAAGTCTAGTATAAAATTATTTTTTATTAATTTGTTCATTGGATTATACCAGTATTTTCTTTCTTTCTAGAATGTCTAGTTTTCTTTCTCATAACTTTTCACTTTTCTTACATATATTCCCATCTTTCTGTTTTAGATTTGAGAGAACTTCTACTTTATCCTACATATCACTATCTTTGATCTTTGTGTTCACTATATTACACAGCATTTTCCACTGAGTTTGATTTAGCAAGCATATTTCTAAAACTTGTATTTTATTCATTGTTTCCTTTCTTAATCAGTCTGATCTGTTTTATGAATATAGTACATATTCTTTCTATTCTTTGTTTCTTCCAGGATCATTTCTTTGTTCATCATGGCCATTTCAATAGATTTTGAAGAAAAAAAAATTAAGAAATTATTGTTCTTGATTCCTATTATATTGAACCATGAATATCAATCTCATATAGGAAATTTGACAGAATATTCACTATGGCTATAAGAACAATTCATTAAGTGTTACAGATGATCTTGCCTTTCAGAGAAGCATTCAATTAAGTAAACCAGAATAGTTAACCTGTTACCACTACAAATAAGAATATGACAGAAACAGTCATAACAAGAATTCAGGAAAGCATAGGTTCACAATGGATAATAATTATAACTAAGTCTCAACAAGCTTTTATATATGCATAACCAGATGTTGTCTCACAGAACCGGATTTTAAAATTCCTTAATGATTTGCTTGGGGGCGGGGGTAATCCAACCATCCCATTAAAAAAACTCTAGAAACCATCTTCCAAAATAAAAATTAGAGAGCTAACAAGAACTAAATATCAGACAACATAAACAAACAAAAGACTAAAGATTTTGCGAGCACTTTCCTAACCTGGGCTAATAGGCTAAGTTTCTGCCAAGAGTCAAATCTAGGACCTGACAGGAATGGGACCCATCATGCTATACCCTACTAATAAAGGTTAACTAGAGATAAAACAGTCTTCCAATATTCTGTAACAAATCTTTGTACCACCTAATGAACCAGAAAAATCTCAGGCCATGAACATGGGATTGATTATAGTGGTCCCCCTATGTACCAACCACAGGCAAACAAAAATCCTCCTGAAGAAAGACCATCCTAAGTCTCAAACAATTCAGTAATAGCATCTCTGAATATTATTTATTAAACTTATACAAATTAAATAGATAATTTGCTAAATAAGCAGTATACTATTCTTATATTACACAAATAACTAAAAAGCCATTATAATTTTTAAAAATACTTATTCTGTTTTTTCAAAAGCCCATAAATTTCTACAAAGACTATATAAATACAAAACATTATCATGGTCAGCTCAAACTTTCTGCAGTGTGATGAAGTCTTCAAGACATATTTTGCACTTCAAGACATCTCTTTTCTTATCACCCCCAACATTACAAAGGAGCAACCTTTAAACTATATTGGCCATGTTTAAAAACTTAACAGCAATGGCTTTATTTTTCAGCATGGCCTACTTTAGCGAAGAAGTGACCTCCTCCATGTAACATTCTGAAATAACAAAACCAAAACTCCAGCATTTTATAATAAGCTATAGTAGAATATGTATATGCTATTTAATATTCTTTATAATCTGAGTTCATTTCCTAAAATTTAATTTTCTTGTCAAGAAATGGAAAAGATTTCAAATACTGTCTTAAAAGTACTACTACTTACTTATATACTACTTTCATAATTTCTAATTTTTGTTACCAAAATGGATAAAAATAATCCTTTAAATATCTAGATAGCTATAAATAAACATCAATATCTTCTTTCTTCTCTCATACCTATAGTATCTGGGAGGTCTAGCAGTTCATTGTGCTGCAAGTCAAGGTTGGTTATCTGTGTGCAGTTTCCAATCTCCTTTGGAAGATGTTCAAGTTGATTGTGAGCTACATCCAGCGTAATGAGGTTACATAATTCACCTGTAAATTGACCAACATAATAATTTAATAAGCATTATTAAATCATATCAGGTAATACAAGTAAGCAAGGGAGGAAATTTTATGATTTTTAAATATAAATGGAAATATAATATTATACAGGCAACTTTTATTTCAAAATGGTAAATCAGTGAACATACTTGGATTGTTAGTAGAAAAAACTACCATAATTACTCTTTCTGAAAAAATTCAAAGTTGAACATAAAATTTTAAACTGTTATTTCAAAATGACATCTAATAAAATGAAAATATTGCTTGTAAATGATTACTTCAGCAATCTGTGTCATGTGGGGTTTTTTTCCTTTGTGTCCTGAAGATTGAACCCAGGGCCTCACACCTACTAAGAACGTACTTTACCAATAGCTACATCCCAGCCTCCATATCATATATTTATGTAGCAAATTCAACCACAAATGTTGATTGACATGGTTCAAATTTTAAAAGCTGACTAATGTTTTTAACAAATTTAGCACAATGATAGATACATTTTTTGTGGGGGTGGTACCAGGGATTGAACTCAGGGGCACTAGACCACTGAGCCACATCCCCAGCCCTATTTTGTATTTTATTTAGAGACAGGGTCTCACTGAGTTGCTTAGGGCCTCACTTTTGTTGAAACTGGTTTTGAACTCTTGATCCTCCTGCTTCAGGCTCCCAAGTGGCTAGGATTACAGGCGTGTGCCACTGCACCCAGCTCAGATACATCTGGCGTTTAGATGGAGGAAGACCTTATACCTCAAAATATATATGCTTTAAAAAAGGCATATATTCTGATGTTACATAAACATTTTTATAAATAAAAGTGACTTCTCAATTTAACAGAACTTTAAAATTATAGAAAAGAAAATGTTTCTCCAGTACATTGTTAAAAGATTGAAGCACATTATCAAGCTACATATTATAAATGCAAATAAATTTCATCAAATTAAACCTTTTGTGCATCAAAGAATACTATCAAGAGAGTGAAAAATGCATACTACAGAATGGGAGAAAATATTTGCAAATCATGTAGATAAGGGATTAATATTCAGAAAATATAAAGAACTTCAATAAAACAATATAACCAAAAAACCCCAAGGAAGACAATTTAAAAATGGACTAAGGACTTCAATAGATATTTCTTCAAAAAATATATAAATGGTCACACATGAAAAAGTATTCAAATCTCTAATCATTAGGGAAATTCAAACTAAAACAATGAGATATCATTTCACACCTATTAGAATGACTACTATTAAAAAACAGGGGGCTGGGGCTGTAGCTCAGTGACAGAGCACTTACCTAGCATGTGTAAGGCCCTGGGTTCAATCCTGAGCACCACATAAAAATAAATACACAGAACAGATATTGTGAAAAAAAAAATCTTTAAAAAAATGGGATGACTACCATCAAAAAACTAGAAAATAAGTGTTGGTGAAGATATGAACAAACTGGAAATCTGGGGATGTCTAAAGGGAATATAAAATGGTATGGGTGCTGTAGAAAACCATACAGTAGCTTCTCAAAAATTTAATATGCAATTAACATAACCCCGCAATTTCATTTCTGTGTACAGACTGAAAAGAACTGGCATCAGGGACTCAGATATTTCTATATCAATGTTCACAGTATTTTTCACAGTAGCAAACAGGTGGGTCTAACCAAATGTCCATCAATGAATGAATAGCTAAACAAAATGTGGTATGTAATAATGATGCAATATTATACAGTTTTTTAAAAGAATGAAATTCTGATGATGCTAAACATGAACTTTGAAGACATTATGCAAAGTGCAATGAGCCAAACATAAAAGGACAATTATATATATATATATACCCACTAATATGAGTAGCTGGAATAGTCAAATTCACAGAAAGTAGAATAGTGGTTACCAGTTTCTGAAGGGAAAGAGGAGCAATTTATTTAATGGGTATAGATTTTCAGTCTCAGGTGATGACAAAGTTCTGGAGGTGGGGAATGATGATGGTTGCACAACAATGTGAATATACATAATACCAATGAACTCTACACTCCAAAATGGCTAAAAGGGTAAATTTTATGTATATTTTGTAACAATAAAAAAATTATGGAACACAGCTAAGCCAATGCTGACAGGGAACTCTATAGCTCTAAATTTTTATACTAGAAAATAAGAAGCATTCTCAAATCATTACATTCTTATCTCAAAGAAAGAAGAAAAAAAAAGCCCAAGCAAAAGAAATAAAAGAGTACAAATCAACTGAAAACAGGAAAGAATTATATAACTCAATGTAAATACTGGTTCTTTAGGGGAAGAAAACAATATTGATAGCCCTCTAGTGAGACAGATTTTAAAAAAATAGAGAAAACATATTATAAATATTAGCAATGAAACAGCAATGACTAAGTCTTCAAAAATAAAATATTACAAACTTAATCATTATAAATTCAAAAACTTAGAAGACCAATTACTCACAAATTACAAGCTACCAAAACTCGAGCAAGATGGGGGAAAAAAAAAAAACCTTAGTAGTACTTTAATCATTAAATAAATTTTATTTTACTCAATTTAAAAGTTCCCTCTCAAAGGAAATCCTATATCCAGTGATTTCTTTAGAGGCTTACCAATGCTTCATAAGAATTCATACCAATTTTATGCAATCTCTTAAAAAAAGAAAACAAACCCACAGAAAAAGGAGTGAACATTTCCAAATTCATAAGAGTAGCATCATCTTGATATTAAAAAGACAGTACAAAAAAGGAAATATAGAGCTCTCTTTCTCTTGATCAAGTGAGATTAATTCTAGATATATAACACAGCTTAATATCTGAAAATCATTTAATGTAATTCACTGTATCAAAGTCTAAAGAAGTAAATCATTGATGATTAATGGAAGGAAAGCTTTTGACAAAATTAAAATGGATTCATTTAACAAACTCTAATTAGGAATAGAAGGAGAATATCTCAATTTGGTAAAGAATTTTTATATAAACTTACAGCTGACTTTTGTTTCCCAGCCTGACATGTAAAGAACTTGGAAATCATCCCTCCTGTCCTCAAAACAAGCAAAGGAATGAACAAAAGAACATCAACAACACCTCTTACATACTTCAGAGACTTGAGGAAAAGGGCAAACTTCTGACCCCCAAAGTGTAGAGACATACAACACAGAAATTTAGAGTGTACCAGGAGTAGAATCCATGGCAGGAGCTTTAAATTTACATTTAAAAGGTAATTGACTAGGTGATGAAAAGAGTGCAGAATAGTTGAAGAAAACTGCATGTGGAGCCAGGCAGAGTGGTGCACACCTATAATCCCAGCAACTCAGAAGGCTGAGGCAGGAGGATCACAAGCTCAAAGCCATCTGCAGCAATGGTGAGGCACTAAGCAATTACTGAGACCCTGTCTCTAAAATACAAAACAGGGCTGGGAATGTCGATCAGTGGTCGAGTGTCCCCGAGTTCAATCCCCCATAAGCCCCCACCCCCACATAAAAACAACAACACAACTGCACATGGAATATATGAGAAAAAAATGGGAGTGTGGAGCCCTGCCACTCATGAGCTTTGCCTGCAGAAGTCCCACCCCAGATTCTCAAAATGAAAAGAAAAAAAATCATCTTCTACTTCTCCTAGGCATATAATGCTGCAGAAAATCAAAGACAAACATTTTTTTGAAAGAGGCTGGAGGAGGAGATAAATCACCGTATATATAGAAGAACAAAAATAAGAATTACATCAGACTTCTCTCCAGGAACCATGCAAACAAGAAAATAATAAAGTGAAGTGATAGATGTAGAAAGAGAATATCTTTTCTTTTCCTTTAATCAATCTAACATACAACATTTTGTTCAAAATAGTAATAGCAATAATATATTGGGAGATTACAACTTACAGTTAAATGAAATGACAGCAACATTAATAAGGGAAAGATGGGAGAAATGGGAATAATCTGTTATAAGGTACTAACACTATTAAGTGGACTTATATTAGTAATAAATGTATACTACAAACTCCAGGTAGTGCATGCATGCATGTGTGCGCAAGCACACACATAAAAGATGTATAATTGATACACTAAGGAGAAAATACAAAATACTTAAAGTCACAGAGGGCAGAAAAAAGTAGAAGGCATAAAAAGAACAAGTTCAACTCACACAGCAGAGTAGCAAATATAATCAATAATCTTTTAAATCAGCTAATTCATATTGAAATGTAATGTTCTAACTGCATCAAAATACAAGACTGTCAGTGAACAAAAAAAAAATCCATTCTTTTAAATATAAACACAAGCAGCCAAAAGAAAAATGATAGAGAAGAAATGCAACAATAACAATGAAGACAAAACTGGAATGGCTATAATTTCAGACAAAGCAGACTTCAAAGCTAGGAAAATCATCAGGGATATATAAAGCATTACATAATAATAAATGATTAGAATGATTCTCCAAAACACAGCAACCCTTAGAGCATATGTACTTGCTTATCTTCTGTCTCTATTATAATGCTTAGTGCAAAACCTCACATTAATTGAAAGAATGAAGATAACAGGAAACTTTGATACTAATACTCTTCATATCAGAATAAAACCTAAGATTTTTCATCACTTTTTCAAAAAATACTTGAAGATGTTTCAATTCCCACAAAAGTAATTTACACTAATCTAAAGAAAGGTACATACATCCAAAAGTGTAAAGATACCATGCAATTTTAAAAAGTAAACTGGATGAAGAATATGGCTAACTTAAATCATAAGGAGTAAGTGTGATTCAATTCAGGTTAAATTACTATTTTGCAGAACTTCACAATCTCAGTGCTGACCTTCTGGACCAGATAATTTGTTATGGGAAGCCGTTTTGTGCTTCAGCAGCATCCCTGCCCTTTACTCATTGCACACACGAGTCATGAAAATCTAAAGTGTCTCCAGACACTGTTCAAAAGTCCTCTTTGAAACACTGCCCAAATTGCCCTCAGGTAAAAATCAGTGCTATGTTAGAATAAAAGCTCTATATTGTCCAATCTTT